TTACTATCTTCGTTCTAGTGATGAAGGATTGATAGTTGAATTTTGCCACAATGATACGAGTAGGCATTGAGTTTCCATAGGAACTCTCATATGAGGGTTTCCAAGAAGGCATTCTCATTCAGTATTGACCTCAGGTTCCACCACGTCTAGGTCTCATCTGCACTCTCAGCGCGACCCATACAGTGATAAAGCAGCGCATAGTGTCGATAAGTTAACCACTAAATCACATTGTCACGAGTGCCCTTGGATCACAGATCAGATATACACTTTAAAACAGGTTGGGCATTTTTGCATATCACATTCTGTTATGAGATTGCAGATAAAGCACTTTAACGAAATAGGAGGAATACATCTCATATATATGATCTACGGGTAGTCTTAAAAATCTATTTACAAAGAAAAATAACTAGTGTAGTTGATAGCTACATCGACAATACCACCATAGAATGTGATATGGGAAAATGCCTGGACTTCCTTGAAATTCACATCTTTCCTGTGAGCCAAGGGCACTCATGGCTGTGTGGTATAGTCGTTAGCTTGCCGAGATTATACGCTGCGTTATCACTGTTTTAGTCCTCCTGGGGGTGCTGATGAGACCTAGGAGTGGTCGAATCTAAAGTCCATCCCGGATGAGAATACCTGCAGGGAAGCTTTTATACTTAATACCCAGAAAGCTAGTCAACTTAGTCGAACAAATATCCAGTATTGCGGGACTATATTGTTGAGAACTCTTTGGTAAAATAAATAATGTTATAAAACAATAAGGACTTTAGGACTGATCTTTCTGCTTTCTGCACATGCATACACAGGTCAGCACAACATGTACACCCATATAGCTAGATATCAATAATCAATACTCTAATTTTACTATAGCTGCAGTTAGTTGATTTATTTTAGGAGCGCCAATGGAGATGAAAGATAAGCCAGCTCGTTGCTTAACATGTTATATCCTCATCACTATTATAAGAACATACATCTGCTCTGATTTCTGTTACATGACATGAGAAAGCTTAGCATGTTTTCAACGAAAGCAAAAAAGAGTTCCTTGAGGGTGTCTCGAGTAAAACAAAACACTTGGAAGCCAAGAGAGGAATCTGCCATCATCTTCGAATATAATCAACTCATAGGTATTTTGCTCGCCTACTTGCACAGTACTAAATTCATACTCTTTGTCTGCCATTTGTGGAAGACTGCAGGATTTGGCGTTGAGTCTCCATTTCTGCGTTTTATTATATACGCTTTGGAAGCAATTTGATAATAATCTTGGAATTTAGGAGCGAATGCTGGCAACAGTCCTGAGGGTAGCTGATGAGACAAACTGTCGTCATTCACCTCATCCCAGCTCTATCGAGAGTCCGTCGGAAGATAAAGAATTGGCTTCCTACGCTTGGTGGACCTGCGTGCCCATTGGGTGTAGTGGAGAGGAGATTGGACGATCTGGCAGCGAAGAAGATTGTGGCTTATCCCCCGGACGGGTATGGTGTCGGTGTGCGCCAAGACGGACATGGGACGTATCGCGGTTCGACATAAGGACAGTCCCAATTGCCGGTTTGCTTTCTGCGATAGCAACTAGGAAGTGTGAGATTATGCGAAATGAGGATAAGAGTATTGTTTATTTTCAGTTGCTCAGTGAACACTTTAATTACCCATCGTGCCGCCCGAATGCCTATCCCTCTCCATGTACACGATTATTGGGTGTATGCGTATACTCGTCCATCGCATCCTTTGGGATGTAGAGTTGTGGAGAATGTGTCTAAAATTGCTACCTGGGTTCTCAATTAGGGAGAGAAATGGGTGACCATAACAAGGCAGAGATTGGAGTGGGGCCAAGACTTCTATCATTATCTTGGTCACTAAGACGATTTAAAAATAGCTGAACGACGAAACAGAGTGTGTTTGTGTGTCTGCATATGTGCGCGCCAGGTCGTGCCTCAGCTGCCCTGCTAGTACATGTGTGTATGGCGAGTGGGCCACATTGACATCAGGCGTATATGCACTTCAACATAAGAGAGAAGAGGATTCGCAAAATCTTTCGTCAAGGGATGGTTTCGCTCTCGCTCCGGGCCATTGGTACTTTTGCTCAGACGCCTTAACCTTCGTCCAGGACAGACGCAAAGTTGCCCATCCTAGCCAACCATGTGTTGTGAGTTCGGTAGATCATAGGGGTTTGTCTCATGGGGACACTTAATTTGTGTGGACTGTGCATGTGGCGGCAGGAGAGCTCGGGGGGAAAGAGCGTGCCCAGTCGCAGCACCGACGAATCGTGGATATTTCGGAGGCTACCGTCTACCACCTGTCCCCCATGGCTTGAGTGCGTCGGCGCCATAAACTAGATGGAGCGGACCTGGTCAATTATAGCACTTTACCTGACAGTAGGGAGTATGTGTTTATTATGTGCTACTTATGACGGGTCAGGGCGTTTAAGAGTGTGTATTGTGTGAGTAAAATTGTCACCGATAATTTACACCCAAGGGCCCCCTCCTTTAAGGGGAATATAGTAATCAAGGCCTACTGACCAAATGGGCGCTAAAATGGTTGTCAGTTCTGGTACTCTGTGACTCGATTTCTTATCAGCACACAATAAAGTAATCAACTATCATATAAGCATTTTTTGCCATCAATGGTCTACTTGGTGGTACGATAGACCCTGCGTAAGATGGGGCAAAATAGGGGAGGATAACGATTATTTCCCCGATAAACTGAATAGATGACTTGATTCCGAAAGACACAGAGACGGAAATTGTTCATGATGGACGACAATCTTAACGACAGCGGAAATCGAACCGTGAAGTGAGGCTTTCAAGGCATACTTATTGTCTTCTAGACAGCACGAATCTTGGCCAATTGACTTAGAATCAAAGCACGCCCTTTAAGGCAAAGCAAACATTTGGTGGAAAAGTAAGGATCTTTCAGAATAGCATAGGTACTTTGCCACTGGTTTCAACACATTTTCACGATTTTACTTGTTTTTATGGGGATTTAGAATAACGTACACCTTACTGCTTGCCCTACCACTGCTAATATATATTCTTTCAGTGTATTAAACTCTACTGGGTACGTTGCCAACAGTTTCGCCAGCATCGAAGTTACTCTCTTCACTGCGCAGCCCCAGCCTCAGTATAGAGCTCATAATTGTCAAAGTGAAACATTATGGCAGTTCTTTTAACCAATTACTTTCAAAAATGGTGACATTTCTTCGTTCCAATTTTATTACCACACTTTCCTAGCTCATAGTGCTAGGAATTAGCCGATTAATTTGGCTAATTTTTCTATCCTCACCCTTCATAATTGCTGTTAATGAGGACTTCTGACGACGTGAATTCGACTGGGTCTCCGAGACAACACGACGAAATTGCGAAAAAGAAGCCAAACCAATGAGGTAAAATGCAAGAAAGCCGCGACTGTAATAAAGGGCACATCATTTTGATCACCGTAACCGCAAATTTTTCTATGGCTGATTATGAGACCAAGATGAGTTAAGGACCGCTGTTTAGCCTGGAAGATAAAGTTTTATGGGATGATATCCTTAAAAATTTTATTCAAACTCATAAATAGTATGATGAGATGTATTCACCCTATTTCATGTAAGTTGATGAGGGACTGGCAGTAGAATTTTCCCACAATAATATGAGTTTAGCTGACTTTTCCATTGAATTTCACATAGCCTTGCTTTCCCAAAAGTTATTCTCATCCTGATATGAGTTGAGCTGACGTTTCCATTCAATTTCACATAGCCTTGCTTTCCCAAAAGTTGTTCTCATCCAGGCTTGAGTTGAGCTGACGTTTCCATTGAATTTCACATAGCCTTGCTTTCCCAAAAGTTGTTCTCATCCAGGCAGAACTGAACTGCAGTTTCGACCTCGCATCGGTCTTATCAACACCCTCAGCGGGAGTCGAACCGCAACAGTGCAGGACGGTAGCTTGACACGCTAACCACTCGGCTACACTGCTCCGAGGCTCCTTTTGAGTCACAGGGAAAATGTGAAGTAT